ATGGCAATCAAACAGAACGGAAATCATTCACCTACACTCACTCTAGGGTGAACTGTCCCGTGGCGGGGGTAAGGGGGTGGGCAGGAGCTCTACACTGCTGAATTTCTCTCTCGTTGTAGATGTGGAGAACTTACCAAATCTCTTACATAGCCTGGCTGCAGATGGCAATGCGAGGAAAGAAAAAGGGAGCAGAAAGAAAGAAAAAACAAAAACAAAAAACAAGAGGAGATCAGGAAAACAGCAATGAAGCAAAGAAAAGGCTGCGGTACCTGCAACCCAAAACACTCCAGCAGAAGACATGCAGAGGAGGAGCACTGGGGTGCGACCCAAAACTGCAGCAGAGGACATGCAGAGGAGGAGCACTCGGGTGCAACCCAAAACTGCAGCAGAAGACATGCAGAGGAGGAGCACTCGGGTGGAAACCAAGCCAACAAAGGAATGAGGATGAGGAAGGACATGGAGGCGGCAGCGGTAATGGAGGCGGTGCGGTACTGGCCACACAGTACAGAGACGGCCACACTGCACACGTGAGCGCCACTAAGATTAAAGGTGGAGGCTCGCACAAGAAAGCGCCAAGGGGCAAATCTCTTCACCCCTCATGCGCCGGTTCTGATGGTGAGGGCAAAGCTAATTATTTTAGCAGCAAACTAAAAATCACTACTCAAGGGCCATGACAGCTTTCTCAGATTTAGTCAGACGGCAGGATGCATGCACCACTCCTCAGCAGGGCGCCAAGGGCGCACGTGAGCGCGCGGCCACACTTTCCTAAATTTGCACTGAAGGACAGCAGCCCCTCAATTACCATCTGCCTTTTGCATCCTTTGTCCTGGAAGGAGAAATAGAAGTTTGGCACACAGGGCCCTGGGAGCTGTGGCCACACGTGTAGTATGTTTTTTCAGTTTGGGACGTCAGGATAATGCTTCTATTTACGGTTAAAACCTCACACTCAAAAGAATCCTGGAAAGTTTAGCTAAAATATGCATAATCTGGGGAAGAAAAGCAGATGAAGTGTCGAGGCTATGCTGCTGAGTCCTGTGCCGTGGCAGGGTCTGTGCCTGGCAGCACTTGGTAGGGTAGGGCCGGACCTTCGGGGACGAGGCTGAGGGCCTACTGGGAGGAGGAGGGGTGAAAAGTCCTGTGTGTCTGACTCAGTGAGACCATAGCTCCGGACAGTCCTTAACCACAGCCACACACTGCCTTCCTGACACTGGACACAGAACGGAGGATTTGAGGTCACGTTTTTGTCTACAACTCAAGACAGAAAACGATCACCGCTGGATACCTGGCATTAGTAAAACCACCAAGGTCTGAAATCATTTGAAGAAATCATCTACAGAAACCAGCCTCTGGGCACCCAGCTCTCCAGTGAGTAAGAGGCCAGCCAGTGGCTCCTTCCTCCCCCCTCCCTGACTTAACTGCATTCCACAGGGCTCCCGGGCGGCACTTCCGCCATTCCCCGCCACTCACTCCCACAGCCAGGGATAAACAAGGTCCCTGTGGCTGGCACAGCCTCTGCACCGCAGAGACAGACCATTCCTGACCAAAGCTCTGAACGTTTCTGTGGAAAGTGAAACTGTTTCGGTTTCATTTAATAAAGCTATGCTTAAATTTAAGGAAGGTAATGTTCTGTTTAATTTGGATTTTAATGTTTTAAAGTGATCCCTCAAAGATAAAAACAGAAGTCGATAAAAAGGATTTGTTTATTTTAGAGGTCTTCTCTGCTCCCTCATCCAATCTGAAGCCTGTCCTTTTATGGTGTGTTGTTTAGTGTAGAGAATCCTGGGGGCTCTCAGGTCAAATTCCCCTTCAAAGGACCTTTCGTGATGTACCAAAGTGCCATTTTCCTGAATAGCGAACCTTTTATGGAATTAATTTCCAGGACAGGAATTCCAAAGAGAGTGGACAAAGGCCATGAATTTTAAGTTAAAATTCACCAAACTTGTAACTCTGTGTAAGATTTTGTTAGATTCTGTTAGTGTGAAGACAGTGATGGAGGACAAACTATCCTTAGCACATAACATTGTATTTCTAAAAGCTGGTTAATCTACCTCAGCAAACACAAGTTTCAAAGACACTTTGGGAAGTGCTGACTGGGCTTTCTTGTCCTGTTTCCATAGGGAACCAAAGAATCAGGCCATTTCAGTTCTTGAAGGTCCTTGGAGAGCTCTCCGTGGGTTGTGTAGAGTAAACAAGCTCTCTCTCACACTGCTCCCCAGCGTCTACCCTATTAACTTTATACAAGATTAACAACCAGTTTAAACTGACCTACGCCCCCATTTCCTGTTTTATATTCTACCAAAGCTGGCAGCGTTCATTTAAGAGGAGAAACCGCATTTAAAGCATGTGCACACAATTAGAGTCCCAGCAAATTAAGCACAAGGAATACCTGTTTGTTCTTATACTTTTTTAGGTAGCGAGGGGACACCAGACACTCGGGGTTGATGTCGGTTGTGATCTGCTCTGGGATCAGCTGGGGATCTGGGTTCAGATGCTGCATCTTCAGGAAGGAGAGGATGTTCTGAACCTCTAAGTTGTAAGAGCTGTCTGCCATGGTCTTGCCTTTGGAAGCTAATCTGCAGGCCGCCATCCAGTGCGCATACTGCTTCTCCTGTTGAAAAGAAACGCTGAGGAATGAAGCCACACAGTGCTCGGGACCTAGGTACAGAATGTAGGACAGCTGGCCAACTCACATGGGAGCCAACTCAGAGAAAAGTGAGGTTTAATTGGAAAACTTACACTATCACAACGGAGCCAAATTTCGTTCATGCCCTCTGCAACCGGAATTAGGAGTTTGATGTTAAATTTTTGGCCTGAAATGTTTACATCTGGGGTAACTTCACATCCTGTAATAATAAGTTTAATTGTAAAAGTGCACAAAGGAAGTCCTGAGCCAATAAAATAGCCTCATTTTGTGATGTCTTACTATGGTGAATTCTGCCACAACATTTTAAGAGCACCTCCACAGGGTAGAAGGTCACTTGGTGTAGCTTTGGTACTCAAATGACAGCCTAGAGCCAAGGATTCAGAAATACAGACATTCACGAACGATAAGAACCCAAACAGTCGCCTTGGCCTCCAAGTAATGTTTAAATTAGTACAGGAAAGGGTACTTTATGTAAAGAGTTCTCTCTTCTTTCCAGGAACACTACTACATACAACAGTCCTTTTGTAGAACTTTTCAAACAAGGGGGAAGTTGTATAATGAAATTAAAACAGACACACGATCTGACTGGGTTCTCAAGGTGATTTAGAGTTAGTAACTCTGTAACTAGCCCTTAAAAAAATATCAAAAGCTGAACCAGGCAGTCTTTCCTTCTCATCTTACAGCTAACCATGCTAAGTGTTTGCATTTACCATTCATGCAGCCATGACATGAGTATTTAGCACAGATTTCCCTTGACCCATTCTTGACATTTCAACTATTCTCTCCCTAAACGCTGTTCTATTCCAAGCTCCATATCGCCTTTTCTGCCCAACCACATCAGCGTGGAGTGTCTGCTTGGAAGGCTCTTCCCGCCAGCCAGCCAGCACACCGCACACTGTCTTTGCTCTGCAGGCCTCCTGCAGATTTATTTTATTTACTTTGGTGTTCAGATAAAACCCAGGGCCTCCCGCACATTCCCAGCACATGCTTTACAAGTGAACTCTACTAGGATCCCTCCTTGCATCTTGAGCCAGACCCCATTTACACCATGACACTCACATCTTCAAGGAAGGACAGAAAGCAGCAACTTTGTATCACTACCTCCTTCCCACGCTCCCTTCTAAACTGTCACTGCCCAAACTGGCAGTGACTTCCAAAAGGTGCTGGAGACGGAACCCAGGGTCTCGGACATACCAGACACACACTCTACCACTGGACGCCACTCCTGGTCCCCAGATGGAGAGTAAGTCTCCTTCCACCTGAGCCAGGAGAAAGAAACGAAGAAGCAGAAGTGACAGAGGCCACCAAAATGGTAAACAAAGCTCTAGCTCCAGCCGTAAGCCTGAATGAATAAAAGATGCAGCTAGCGGTGGAGGAGGCCTGGCTCAGCAGTTAAGGAAGGACAGGAGTTCAGGTCCCGACTCACAACTGCCTCTTATTCCAGCTCCGGTGGAGTTGATACCCTCTTCTAGACTACTCAGGCCACTGTATACACACACGCACACTTAAAAATGGGATGAAGCTTTAAAAACAATCAATAAAGAAGCAGAGCTACCAGCTGAGCCCGCACTGAAGAGTGGCCCAGGCTGCAGGTGCCCAGTGAGGAGGCCCATGCCTCAAGTTCCAGCTCCTACTTCTCAGCCCGCTTGCAACAGGACAAGGCAACAGGAAACCCCAGCTGGCAGCTAGACACCTAACAGGGCCATCCTGGGCTTGCCCTCAGGAGCTGGGCAGAGCAAAGTAAAGAGAGAAGAACTGGAGGAGGAGGAGGGAGACTGGGGAAACAGGTGTGAAGAGCAAGCAGGAGGCCTGCCAGTGATGATGGGTGAGACAAGAAACACAGACATGAGACCCACGAGGCTGCCTGTGAGGGACCCGAACGTTCCTGATGCTCAAGGTGAGAAAAAAAGACATCACAAAGGTACTTGCTGGGTGAGGTAAACGTGGTGTACTTGAGCTCGGGTCTGCCCAGAACAAATTATCCACATGCAACTGAATACACAAACTGGAGAATCAAAATCACTGCAAAGACCCCAAAGGCGTAAAGAGAACTCGAAGTGCCCCCCCTCTCCCCAGTGAAGTTTATTGAGTACCAGACTGACGGGTCACACGAGGCCCCCCTACCTTTGAGGTTCATCTGGTGAGCAGGTGTACCACTGGACTCTTCTCGGCTCTTATAGCAGGAGATGGACGTGTCTTTGAATGTGCACCAGTACTGCTTGTACCCTTTCAAAGTCAGCTTTTTAGGCCTGGAGAGCAAACAGCATTGAGACAAAAACCACTCTGAAGTACCTGTGTCAGGACTGTTTTAGCAGTTAAACTTCTCAGTGCTGAAAAACATGAGGCTAATTTTACAGAGCTGACATCATCTGCCTTTGGCCAGTTTTTTCCTGGTGTACCCTCCTCCTCCTCAGTCTACTCCAGTAGACCGGGAGTCCAAACAGGGGGAAGGCAGAGGGCCCACAGCCCCACACTTCTCACTTAAAGGTGTCCGTGTGGAAAGGTCCACGTCCGCCCACACTCTGCAGAGGCAGTGGTGTCCACAGCATTACTGCGGCTGAGCTGAGGCCTCTGCATCATGTGATGTACTGGGCATGACTGCGGTGAGAGAGGAGTCAGCCTGACATGTGCACACACACCACACCAGAGCCACACACAGAACAAGGCACAGGCAGCCGGAAAGCGTGGAAAAGGGAAGAGGGTGGATACAGAGACTTGAAATCTTGCCCTTACCGCAGAAGCGTTCCAGACTGTGAGCTACAGTATTTTCAGCCTTGGGAAACTCTAGACTGCAATAATTTCCCAGAGCATACAGTAGGAAAGCGGACAGTCAGCACCACATCTCTGTCTCAATTGCCTTACTGCTCAGTTCTCAATTTTGAGGATTACAAGTAGACTGTTTAAAAGTCTAGAAAAATTTACTGAGACCTTACAGGAAAGGGTCCTGCAGTACATGAACATAAGCCAATGGAGTCTGGAGCTCTGAGCAAGGACATAACACTGGCAGTCACAGGACACCGTTTGCCACTTTTCATGAAGCACAGTGGGGCCAGCCGCTACCACCAACTATGATACAATCAGCCTGAATGATTTTTTTTAAATATTTTTTTTTAAGATTTATTTATTATGTATACAGCATTCTGCCTGCATGTACACCTGCAGGCCAGAAGAGGGCACCAGATCTCATTACAGGTGGTTGTGAGCCACCATGTGGTTGCTGGGAACTGAACTCATGACCTTTGGAAGAGCAGTCAGTGCTCTTAACAACTGAGCCATCTCTCCAGCCCCCAAGCCTCGATGATTTTAAGATCAAATAAAACAATGATTATTGTGGTTTTAGTTTAGTGAACATGAATATCTTAATTTTAAGTGTTCATCTAATTGGTAAATCTTACAGATTTATTTTACAAATAATTGACCAAGTTAGTGTAAATTTAAATGTGAACATGACTATAAAACTGACAGCTCTTACTGATATTTGAAATCTCTCCCACTTTCGTACTTACTTGAAAACTTTAATATAGTCAGCGAGTTCTGGAATTGAAGTAATGTCACCCTAGGTAAAGAATTAAAATAATATTTTTCTTAATCTTTTAAATTTAGTTTGGTATCTGATTTTAAAAACTGCTTATTTAGTATTCAAAATACAGCTGTTAAAGACATAAATGATATGATCATATAACATGGTCTTGTTACAAAGGCATTTTCAAATATTATACAAAGTTAATAAGAATTTGAACAAAATGACATCTGTACAACTCCCAAGAATGTATTCTTGCTTCTAAATACAGCCAACATGGTTTACAGCAACACATGGAAATACTGTAAATCATGATGCTCTAAGAAAAATGTTTCTTCAGCAAGATCTCACTCCTTAGCTTTAAAAATAAGCAGCTTTTAAGCTATTGTGAGGCTCCTTTCTCCTTCTTTGGGTGTCAATTAAGCAGACTACCTTATCACAACTTGATGTTGCTATACCTGCAGAACTCACTGCCTTCCCCCCACTTGCAGGACAAGTGTTTAGAGACAGCTTCAGTGTGGGAGGCCCGAGGAGCTGGTAACAATGTTTCCTCAGGAATGGGGTGGAGTCAGGCCCTGGGTGGATCATCCCACCACAAAAACCTTCTCTGAAAACCCATGACCGACTCTGAACACTTTTCTCCCCGTTCCCGAGGCCTTCTCTGGCAATGGAAACCCCACAAACAGGCAAGCCTCAACTGAAGTCACTCGTGAGCTAGAGATCCACCTCACCACCAGAACGGTTGATGCTTTCCCGCCTTCCAAAGTGATCTCCAGGTCAGAAAGGGCAGCGCCAACTTCATCAACGTCTCTGTCACTGTTGTTTAAATGGTTTTCTGACGTCATGATTGACAGCTTATTGATATGATACTGAAACCACAAAAACATGTTGTTGAAATGACTGTTGAGCGGCAGAACTTTAAGATGAAATTACTACCTGACTCTACTTTAGATGTTCTTTAATCTGATTTGCAAGGATAAATCGTCAGGGAAGGAGGGTGGAGAGCTGAAGGCCCAGTGCCTAACAGCACTGGCTGCTGGTACAGTGAACTTGGGTTTGATTTCTAGCACCCACGGGGTGGCCCACAGCCTTCTGCAACTGCAGGTCTAGGGGATCCAGCGCCCTCTTCTCGTGCCCACAGACACTGCATGCACACGAGCACAGACAAAATGCAAAACTCCTGAACACATCCAAGTAAGCAAAGTGTCCTGAAACCCGAAGGATGAAAAGCAAGGGCCATGGCACCTGGGATCCATGTGACAGCCCTGCTCGGAAAGACTTATCCAAAATGAGCGCAGTACGTGTAGACACAATGTGTTCTGTTTCTGCCTCCCTTGGTGTGAAGGGCATTTATAGGTCTGCTACTACATTGACATGAGTGAGTTTTGGTTGTTTTGTTGTTGGGTGGTTGATTTCCTTGTGCCTAGAACAGGGCCTTGTACAGATGCACATCCCATGAGGACTCAGGCCAGGCACTTCTGTAGGGATGAACTCACTGCTTGTATTCTATCACTGGAGAAAATGGACCCTCGCTGGCCCACAGTCCTGACCACTCAGGAGAAAAGTACTGCCATTGTAGCCTCGGGAGAAGCGGAAGCTAGCGCCACTTTCCCAGTTCTGTTTTCAGGGCTGCATGGTCTCTCTCAGCTATCTAGAAATAAGAAACTCTGTTCATATATGTGAACAGAGTGCGTGAATGCAATCAGCCAGCAGGAAACGGTCTTGGGTATAGAATTTTCTAAAGTATTACATAGTTGTTTTTAAACGCACTTGGTGACTCAGGATATTAAAAATCTATTAGGTTTTGATGTCAAACCTGGGAGATTTTGTGGAGAGATCAACAGAATCTGGTGTAACTCTCATTGGCTGCCTCTCACAGCGTAAGAGGCTCTGAACTTCTGAAGGATCCATTTACCTGTAAAGTCTATCTGTGGGAACACTCAATGCTTGGACTCAGTAGTAAATGGTTACACCTTCAAGTTAGGCAAACATGAGATCTTTGCAGTGACAGAAACTTCTGTGATAACCACTGAGAACAAGACAGGCAGAGACTGCCAGGCATGGCCTCAATGTTGACAGACTATTAAGAATCACGTGGAGAGTTGGTTAAAAACACAGGCCCCTCCCTCCATTCCCTCCCCCATCACCCCAGAGGTCGTGGCTCAGAACTCCATGGCTTAGCTTGAAATCTGCCATTTGTCAAAGCACTTTGACTGATACTGATGCAAACGGCCTGTGACTATCTTATTAACTTTGCAACTTTATTTTTTTATCCAGTTTATTCCAAATTATTTTCTTTCTTTTTGCTATAGAGAGAGCCTGCTTTTGATCTGGGTGCCCCAGAGACAGAGCAGTTCAATGTGTGGGCCAAAGGCTCCTCACCATACTTTCTTCTCAGTGGTGACGAGCAGAAACATGAGCTCCAGTCAGTGTGGTCATATGGGGAAGGACAAGAGTCTGTCTTCTTACTAAGATGGCTCCAACAGTCTGTATGTCAGTCTTCTCTGTCTGTCTCTCTCTCTGTCTGTCTCTTCCTCCCTCCCTCCTTATCTATCTATTAAAATGGTCCAAGAGGGCTATGCTTTGAGGCCCTTCGATTACTGGAATAGAATCTAAGGCTTGCTGGGATATAACTCAGTGGCACACGCTGGGTTAGCATGTGCAAGGCTTTGGGCTCAGTCCCTAGCACAATACCAAAAGAACAACAAAATGATAAACTAACACTGTTATAAAATTAAAATCTATGGTTTTTCAGATATATTTTACATGACTTGTACTTGCTTTTGGCAAAACTTCTACCAGAAGATGCCAGAGTCTGTGTCCAGAGGGTGAAAGATATATTTAAAGAGTCACTCAAGTGGGAGACTCCCAGGAAACTGTACTGAGATTTAGTTCAGGAAATTCTCCAGACAGTTGAAATGACCAGGAAACTGTAAGAATCTTAACCAGCTGCTTAGTCAATTCTCTGAAATAGCTGATGAATTCACCCGCCTGCCCACCAGCAAGGACTTGCCACCTGCCCTCAGCTTTCCAACAGTGACCGTGGGTTGTAACTGAGCTTTCTGGTGCTTTGGTGCATTTGGAAATCTGAGAGCATTTTTTTTTGTCTGAGAAAAGAAGTAAAAATCTTCATAGTGAGAGCTTCTTCACTGAGGGCCAGTCTTTCTTCTCCTGCTTCTATTTAAAGATTGTCAATTGCACTGGGACCTTAGGGAAGACTAGAATCCCAGCCCAGCCCAGGAATACTTGCCAAAGCCCCACCCAGACACACTGAACTCTGAAAGATTTCATCTGGTGACAATGGACCTCACTGCTTCTAAGAATACTGATTAGTCTAAAGCCATTTCAGTAATGGGAGTGGGCAATTAATTTTTTAATAAATACCACTATAATTCTGAAGCATGTGGTATTCAAGGTCCACATTTGTAAAAATACTAGTTAAAGAAAGATTAGCTTTATACTTAATAATTAATGTTGTAAAAACATTTATGTTTATTCTAGTCTCTTGAACTCGCATTATTTAAAGGTGTTATTTCTGACACAACCATCATGCAATGTGTCTTATCATCAATTTCATATCATTAGTACTTACTTCTAAAAGAAAATTGAGTTAACTTCAAGTTACTATCCACTGGGAGGGAAAAGACTAATTTTCCCACAAGATACAGGAAAGTAACCAAGTATCACTGATTCTTCAATACATATATATGTATATTTAAGATTTATTTATTTATTATGTATACAGTATTCTGCCTGCATGTATGCTGCACACCAGAAGAGGGCACGGGATCTCACTAAAGATGGTTGTGAGTCACCATGTGGTTGCTGGGAATTGAACCCAGGTCCTCTGGAAGAGCAGCCAGTGCTCTTACCCTCTGAGCCATCTCTCTAGCCCCAATTCTTAAATATTTTAACACAACAACAAAAATAATCATTAGCCGGGCGGTGGTGGCGCATGCCTTTAATCCCAGCACTCGGGAGGCAGAGCAGGCGGATCTCTGTGAGTTTGTGGCCAGCCTGGGCTACAGAGTGAGTTCTAGGGCAGCCAGGGTTACACAGAGAAACCCTGTCTAGAAAAACCAAAGGAAGAAAGAACTAATCCTAATCATGTTTGTTTCACTTTTGTAAATGTCTACTTTCAATGTCTAAAAATGTTCATTTATTGAGTGTGTGTGCATACGCACGCACGCACGCACGCACGCACGCACGCACGCAAGCACGTGCCATATGTGTGCACATACGGTGAGAGGTCAACACTGAAAAGCAAATCTCACTCTGCAGCCCTAGCTGCCCCAGACTCAAAGACAACCACCTGCCTCTGCCTCCCCAGGGCTGGGACTAAAGGTGTGCACCAATGTGCCCAGCCTCAGAGAATTTTTGGGAGTTGGTTCTCTCCTTCTACCTGAATAGGTAGGCCCTGAATACCAAACGTGGGTACCATGGTTGGCAGAAAGCATCCGTTTGCTGGGCCATCCTGCCAGCCCCACATGCCACTGTCTACATAGCAAAGAACACTATCAAAAGCCTGTATAACATCGACACCACTCTCCTCTTTCCCAGTGAGGATCATCCACTGTCTTCATTACCTGCAAGGCTGCAAACATCATCATCTCTTCTTCAGTGCATTCAATCTCTTCCAGCAGAAGAGCCCACTTGGCCTGCTCGTAAAGCTGATTGATTCTGATAGCATCGTACTGCAGAATGAAGGAAATACGGGCTTTAATACACAGACTTCAATACTGCAAAGTTCTCAATGTTCAATCTCCACTTTTGAGGCTGGAGAGATGGCTCAGCAGTTAGAGTCCTTACTGCTATTGCAGAGGAACGGAGTTCAGTTCCTAGCACCCATGTAAGATGGCTCAGAATTGCCCGTAATCCCAGACCCCAGGGAGTTCTGACACCTCTGGCCTCTATGGGTACCTGCGCTCATATACGCCTAAATTTTAAAATAGTAAGTCTTAAAATAGCCTCTCTTTTTAAATAAAATTATATATTTTATGAGGGTTTTGACAAGAAAATTACCCAGGGATGTAGCCCAGTAGGTAGAAGGGGTTGCCTAGCATGAGAGAGGACTTGATCTCTAGTACTGAAGGGAAAAAAGGGGGTCCATATAACAACTGTTGCAGTTTCAATGGAAATCTAACCTGAAGAAGGATGTGGTAGCCTATGACTGCTCTGCTGGCCCTTGGAAAGCTAAAGGAGGAGGATCCTTGGTTTCTAGGCCAGCCCAGGCTGCAGAGCAAGGTCTGGTCTCAAAAACAAAGATGATAAACGCCACAAAAATGGGTACTGTGCCGGGCGGTGGTGGCGCACGCCTTTAATCCCAGCACTAGGGAGGCAGAGGCAGGTGGATCTCTGTGAGTTCGAGGCCAGCCTGGTCTACAGCGCCAGATCCAGTAAAGGTGCAAAGCTACACAGAGAAACCCTGTTTCGAAAAACAAAAACAAAACAAAACAAAAAATGGGTACTGATATATGTTTGTAACCAGCACCCAGAGTCCGAGGGATCACAAGTTTGAGGCCAGCCCCCCAGGGTTTCATATTAAGTCTGAGCAGCCTATGCAGAATGGCTGGATTCTGCCTCAAAAAGCGAACACCGGATAAAGAGAGGGAAGAAGGGGGAAAAAAAGAGAAATCTAGTTGGAAAGAATTAAAACAAGATACAAATACAGATTGCTTTTAACACTGTTATTCTGAGTTGCCACAAAAGAACCCAGTGAGCAAATTAATTTGGGAAATACCTTGCTCACAGAAGAGGAACACCCAAAGAGGTAGACCCTTGGGAGGAAGAGCTATTTTAAATATCCAAAACAGACAGTACAGACACACTTTTGGAAAATATGTGTATCTGTGTCTTTAGACTGTCCATTTAATTATATTGGCAAAAAGAAACACTCTCTTAAAATGTTAACCAAACATTCCACTCCCCAACCTACAACCAAAAGTAGATACGATGTTGCCTGAAAATACAATTTTTAGTGTTTTATTGCTACAATTTGCTGTATATATGTTATGTAAAGAATTATGACCGGGCGGTGGTGGCACACGCCTTTAATGCCAGCACTTGGGAGGCAGAGCCAGGGGATCTCTGTGAGTTCGAGGCCAGCCTGGTCTACAGAGCAAGATCCAGGACAGGCACCAAAACTACACGGAGAAACTCTGTCTCGGAAAAAACAAAAACAAAAACAAAAACAAAAACAAATAAAGAATTATGTGCATACATAATGAATAAAAGATAAGACACTAGATTAGTGGTTCTCAACCTGTAGGTCCTGACCCCTTTCACAAGGGTGGCCTATGACCACTGGAAAATCGGTATTTACATTAGGATTCATAACAGTAGCAAAATTACAGTTATGAAGTAGCAACAAAATGATTTTATGGCTGGGGGTCAGCACACCATGAGGAACTGTATTAGAGGGTCACAGCATTAGGAAGTTTGAGAACCACTGCTCTAGACAGAGTACAATTCAGACATGAAGGAGATACAGGGGGCCTGGACAGGCTCTGTCCCCTAAAGACTGTGCCCCTGTTCTTGGGGAAAAACAACTACAGATTTTCACAGCAAAGTAAAAAGGTGAAGTTAGAGCACAGCAGACTCACCCAGCACAGAAATCAAGATACAATGGTTAGCTATTAGGAGGATAAAAAGGAGACGATAAAACAATACAAAGCCTAGCTTGGTGGCACACACCTTTAATCCCAGTACTCGGGAGGCAGAGGCAGGCAGATCTCTGAGTTCCAGGCCAGCCTGGTCTACAGAGCAAATTTCAGGACAGCCAGGACTACACAGAGGAACCCTGTCTCAAAAAACCAAAAATAAAATAATAAAAATAAACAAACAACAACCCCCACCCAAAATTATACAAAGAGTAATTTTTCAGAAACTATTCTTTACCTTAAAATATAATTGCAGATGTTAAATTTTTTTAAAAAAACAACTAGTACCTTTGAAACACATTACAGAAAATGTGATTGCCTTATCAAAAGAAATTCAACCATGCTTCCAACCTAGGAAAATACCAGATTTACTAAGAATACAAACATCTTTGCCTTCAGGTCTGGGTTTTTAAATATTCAAAACTTGCTACAGTTTCTTAATGCTCAAATGAGAAGGGAAAGAGGCAGAAAAGACCCCTCTAGATCCTTGGTACCTTTGGGTTCAAATCAAAAAAGCTGTAGTACTTGAATCGGAGCAGCAAGGCCTCATTCTCCTTCACATCTTGCTCCATCAGCGATCTCGAGGAATCCAGCCACCCTTGGTTGGTTTTTGCTTTATCAAGAAGAGCTTGAGGCTTGAACATCTTTGCCAGTATTTCTGGTGAGGTTACCGGCTGACTGACGGCAAGTATCCCGGGATTGCCTTCCGACAGGGCACTGTCACCAAACCAGGCAGAAGTCGGTGACAAGGGGCTTCCGTCATGAGCGTCGTAAGTGGGGGTCATTGTTTTACTGTAAAGTCCGGGGCTTGAGTATATGCTTCCTAGTGAGTGAGAAGAGGCGGCCGTGAGGGGGGCCCGGACTCTTAGCTCAAGAAGGACACACACCACGCAGGAAGCACAGGGAGCCACAAGCTTCAATCTGGAAGGAGAGCTCAGCACATTAGCTACCTGCCTCAGAACACAAAATAACTCCGCTCGTACAACAGAACACGTAGTACCGAAGCCGTGATGTGATTAAATTGGCAGAAACTCTGAGGAACTAGGAAATAAGGCTGTAGCTGAAGCGCACAGACTGACACTTGTGTGTGTGGCTGTGGTGAGGCTCACCTTTCAGAGGGCCAATGTAAAGAACATCGATGCCTATAGGAAAGGAAAGAAAGGAATTGAGAAGGCAAAGGAAAGTCAACACCAGAAGACAAAGAATGGAGAGGAAACGGGAAAAGGGAAACAGATTTGCCCCAACTGTGAATCCTGAGTAAGCGTGTTAAAACCCCGGGAGCTTCAACTTAAACACAACACTATTTTGTCCAGTGCACGATGAAGCTGGGCTTTCACCAGGCCTCCCGTGATTTGGTTTCTATGCAGCTGCACTCAAGGCAGAGGCTCACCTCATTTATCTAAGGATCCCTCAGTATGACGGGGCTGGGCACACACTAGGGGCTACACAGATAAAACACACTGGCTAATGATACCACACACGCTCTTCCACTAGAAAAGCAGAATTAAGGGCATCAAAAACATGTCTTAACTCTGTTATATTATATTTGGTCCTGTCCTGTTTTCTGAGTCAGGGTCTCACATGGTGGTCCAGGCTGGCCTCCAACTTAGGGCGATCCTCCTGACTCATCCTCTGGCTATGAAAGAGAATGTGCAATTGCTGTTACATTGTTACTGGATGTGGAAAGAAGAGGGTTAACCCACTCTCCCCAGCTAACTAAGACTGTGCTTGGGAATCCTCCTTCCTCCCACTCCTGTGGGCACACAGAAGCCATAAGAAGACACAGTGTAACAGAAAGACTTTCACTGAACGGAAGTGGATACTGTCAGCCAGCCATATCTGACCTGATATCCCTGTGTCCTGGGTTGTGCTTAAACAACCTGTCGATCGGATGCTGTGAGGCACAGAGAGGAGGTATGAACTCTGTTTCAGCCTTTAAAGGAGACACTGGACATAGTCAGTCCTGAGGCACTGTTGTCTATGGGAGTCACTGTCAATCTTAAAACCATGGCACTGTGGACGGGTACGGTGTCCATACTTACCAAAGGCAGAAATCACTTCTCCAGCTCACCTGGGCAGACAGTGATTCTGCTAAGGGAGTACATATAAACGGAGTATGGGATATTAACTAATAGGCAGAAACCTGTTTACTTAAAACAAAACAAAACAAAACAAAACCCATTTGAACCGGGTATTGGCGGCACACGCCTTTAATCCCAGCACTTGAGAGGCAGAGGCAAGTGAAGTTCGAGGCTAGCCTGGTCTACAAATCAAGTTCCAGGACAGCCAGGGTTGTTACACAGAGAAACTCTGGAAAAATCAAATATAAAAACAAAACCATTTGTTGAATAAACCTTTCATAAGAATGTCAGAATACTGATATTTTTTCCTAGTATGATGTACTAGAATTATTTAGAGCTGAGTAAAGTTAAAATCGACGACTCTACAAATTTTCCAATACAGAAAGTAAGTTAACAGAGCCCACTCTCAATCGCCTACAGTCTGCATTTTACATATCACAGTTCCTATCCATCATACGGATACCACGGGGTAACAACTCATCTAGTGTCCCAACAAATCTATTTTCACCCTGAAGAACAAAACTGGGGCCCAAAGGCTCAAAGACTTGTTCGCGGTCAAGAGCCAGCAAGCTGCGGGCCATGCTGGGAACTAGCCGGTCTTGGTTGCCTGAACACTGCCTTCACGAAAGTACAACTCAAACCACTCCCAACCCATGTATGTCCGACTGCTTAGAGTCTCGGTGGCGAGGCAAGAGAAGCTTCAGTAAACAGCTTTGGACTTATTTCCCAATTCTAGTTGCGCTGCTGGGTCAGAGGGTGGGCATAGTTTAAATTCCTTCAGGGCCAGCTCAAAGGCTAACCCCAACTTGTTTTCCTATTTGCCTGCTTTTATATCTATTTCAGGCAGGAATCAGAGTAAGATGAAGTAACAAATTTAGTCAGCAACAAAATATGGAGAGAGAACTTAAAAACTAAACCAAGAGTTCAAAAGGAAAATCGTCCAGAGAGCACTATATTCTGGGCTACTGCACATAACTGGCCAGATAATAAAAGCCACACGTGGCTCTTGGGAGGGCTGCTGTATTAGGACACAGGAAAATGACCACAGACAGAATGCTGATGTGCAGTGAGACTCTCCAACACAAGGGTAGTACCACTAATGGCCAAAACGCAAATAAGAAGGAACAGTCTAGGCGTGTGAAAAATCAATAGACTAAGGAGAGATAATGGCTAATACATCAAATCCAATCTACCATCCCAGTGTTTATAGCATCTATCCAGGAAATGAGAAATAAAGTAACTCTGAGATACTATTGGTCAAAACGGTAAAAAATGTATAATGACTGACAATACTCAACACTGGGAAGAATGGATGAAAAGGGTGTCTTCATATACTATCGATGGGAATGTGAACTCCAGCTACTATGTGGTAAAACACCACACAGGTAGAGAACCGATGAATACAGTTTTTGTGTACAGAAACTTTTGAGAGCATTCACAAGGGCTTGGCGGAACTCTCTGCTTTGCCACAGAAAAAGCACCAAATTATTAGTCAGTGAAAAAAAAATCAATGCAGTATAGATTAGAGTCCTTCTCTGGGAGCTTGAGGGCTACACAGGAGTCCCAGGCTAGCTAGGGCTGTATAGTGAGGCCTCGTCACAATAGAAAAGAAAGAGGAGGGGAGGGGAGAGGGAGGAACGGGCACCGTCAAGCTGTAGTCCAAACTGTTACAATAGAGTCATCAAGAAATGGCTAATTCTTGGGGCTGCAGAGATGGCTCAGTGCCCGGGAACATCTGCTGCTCTTCAGAGGACCCGAGTTCAGTTCCAGCACCCGTCAGGTGGCTCACAACCGCCTGTAACATCAGCTCCAGGGATCCAACACCTTCTTCTGGTTTCCATGGCGTGTGTGCCGCACGCACGCACGCACGCACGCACGCACGCACGCACGCACATAAACATTGGATAAAAAAAAAATATGAGGGAACAGCAAAAGAATAAGTTTAAAAGGAACTTTCACCACTGCCTTCGCTTATTTTCTGTATTGTTTGAGTTTATTATAATGAAATTAATATTCAGAGTATGACTTCTGTAATAGAAAATACGAGGTTCATTAGATCATATTACTGATGGAAGGAAACACAATATATATAATCCCACTTTAGTTGGAAAAAACAAATTGAAGAAAATTTGAGCCTTTAATATTTGAATATTTAGTGTGTGTGTGTGTGTGTGTGTGTGTGTGTGTGTAGATATAGATATAGATAGCTTTTGTTCTTTAAAGAATAGGTTTAAAATATTTTGATATTTAAAATGGTCAAGATCCAGTTAGGAAAAAAAAATTGCATCCTATGCAGATAATTTTCCTAATGAAGTGAAATAGAATATTTATTATATTCTATATTAATGTAGATCCTAGACTTTTTTCTTTTCCTAGATGCCTTCTCATTTTATTTTCAAGAAGAATTTGTTTGTTTGTTTGTTTGAGACAAGATTCCTCTGTGTAGCCCTGGCTATCCTGAAACTCACTCTGTACACCAGGCTGGCCTCGAATTTACAAAGATCCACCCATTTCCGCCTCCCGACTGCTGGGATTAAAGGCCTGCATCACCACTGCTCTCAAGAAGTTTCACCGGGGCGGTGGTGGCGCATGCCTTTAATCCCAGCACCTGGGAGGCAGAGCCAGGAGGATCTCTGTGAGTTTGAGGCCAGCCTGGACTACCAAATGAGTTCTAGGAAAGGCGCAAAGCTACACATAGAAAAAAGAAGTTTTTAGTAAGATAATTTCCACTTGTATAATGCATTCTGATATGAAGTTTCTTTGGAAATCATGACCACACTGCAGAAAGTGTTCTTCCTTTGAAAAACTGCAGTCAGTCCGGTGTGGTGGTGCAGAGTTGCTCATCCGAGCACTTGGGGTCCAAGGCAAAGGATGGTCCGGAGTTTGAGGTGAACTCTGGCAACATGCTGAATTCATGACAAGCAGGACAGTGGAGCTGTTAGAATTTATAGTGTGTTGGCCAGGCAGAGTGGAAATGACCTAGTTGCATTGATTATACATGGCTACATGTTAGCTGTTACACACCAGACATCTAGGTGGAGGAAAATCCTGGAGGGCTTCTTTATGATTTCGCTTACCACCCTTCTCTACCAGAGCATCTTCTAACAGGGGAGTATCAGTCTAAATTACCATGGTTCAATCATAACCCAAAGCCTAAGAATCAGTAAAAAAATGAGCTGTTTTGCATCAGTTCGGCCAGCTTTCTTACAGTCTGTCACTATTAGCATAATTGGGGAGTAGTACAGAAAAAAGAGCCTAAGTAATAATCCACGATAACATTACCCTGTGCTTCCAATTCTGCTACTAACTACACAAACAGGGTTTTCTTGTCTTTCTCACACTCAGAAGCTATTTCTAGCAACTTCTGGATAACTGAAACAGTCGTGTGTCTTAGAATTCCTAGGACCCTTGCACTCACTGTTGGTTTCTGGGCTAGAAAGCTCACTCGGCTCACCCAGACGGACAAGATCTTCCACGCTGCAGTTTCTACGTGGATGACCTCAAACTGTTCTGATTAATACATACAGTGAACAGTGTCGATTCCTTAAGGAAATGAAATTTATTTCTTTTTCTTTCAAGTAATCAAAGTTTAAAAAATAATCTGTAAAAGCTAGATTCTGGCCTTTGGCTACTGGAACACTGCTGAAATTCAGGGTCTCTGTGTCCTAGTAAGGGTGGGGGAGGGGCATGTGGCTAGATAGTCAGAGCTTAGGATGCCTCCAACAAACCGCGGCTCTCCCTTTCCTCGGTTGTCTGAGCCCAGGCAAGTGACTCTGCCTGAATTTGTCATGCTACCTGTTAATCAGAACCGAGGCTGGAGGTAAACATTAGCATTGCATGTCCTGTTTGGGAAAGTGAGTCACTCAAGGAACGTGGCCCTCAACAGCAGCAACCTTTCAACATAACTCTGGTTTTTCCTTTCTTTTTTTTTTTGGATTTGGGTTTTTCTGTGTAGCCTTGGCTGTCCTGGAACTCATTCTGTAGTCCAGGCTGGCCTTGAACTCACAGAGATCCGCCTGCCTCCTCCCGAGTGCTGGGATTAAAGGCGTGTGCCACCACTGCCCGGCTTGGTTTTCCTTTCTTAAAAAAGATCTCCTGAACAGTCCACAGAGAGGGCTCAGTGGGTAAGACTGCTCTTCCAGAGGACCCAGGTAGATCCCCAGAATACACATGGCAGCTCACAACTGCCTCTAACACCAGTTCTAGAGGCTCTGGCAGCCTCTTCAGGCCTCTGTGAGTCCTGCACACACATACATGCAGGTAAAACACCCACACACATAAAATTAAATAAATAAATAAATTTCAAAATGAAAAACAAAACAAAAAAAAACTTCTTAAAAAGGTCTCTCGTAAAGCTGTCCAGTAGTGTTCTTAGGACACTCATCTGTCTGAAAGTCAGGCCTGAGGGAAGAACTGAAGAATGACACACAGTCCAAAAATAAAGAGCAGGCGCAGTTGGGGTGGAAAGGAACTAGCCAGAAGTGAGCCGGGAGGAGCAGACCGTGAGTTCTAAGCTAGAGTGAAACCCCACGGCTCCCCCAAGAAAACCAACAAAACAAACGACCCTGTACACCCACTGAGCTACTCAAGCCAGTTTACTTGTTGGAATAAAGCTGGAAACATACAAATGCAGAAGGTGCAGGGCCTAGGATAGCTAAGTTAACAGTTCTGGGGATACGATTTTTTAAAAAAGCTAAAAGAACTTCCTAGCTGGTGCGGTGGCTCAGGCCTGCAGGCTGCTGTATGTGTGAGACCAGAACAGTCTACACAGCAAGGCTCCACTCAACTGAAAAACAAAGCCAGCTTGCTGAATTAACCGAGGATCGGCATTACAAAGGACCGTGAAGAAAGAGATGTACAAATTTGGACTTTGGCGACTGGGGAGATATCTCAGCGCTTCCGAACTCTTACTGCTCTGCTCTTTCAGAGCACCAGGGTTCTGTTCCTGGCACCCACGCAGGGTGGCTCACAACCAGCAGAAACCCCAGGTTCAGGAGATCTGACAGTGTTCTAGCATCTTTGGGCACTGCACACATGCCCCCCACCCACTTATATAAAAGGATTCAGAACTCTGGCCAGCAGACACACACTAAAGGGCTTTTAGTCCTACATAAGAAAAGTGAAAAAAGTATGTATGTATTTGTTTGGAAGACATTACATGGCCCAAAAGTATCCCTCCTTTTGGTTGGAAGAGATCTTCCACTGTTACCTGTTAACACTGGCTGACTTCCGGGGCCACGTGTAGTCCATGTGCTCACCTGAGTTCCTCTCTTGGTCCTGGCTCTAGATCAGATGCCTACATCCATCTTCATCATTTGCTAGAGTGGCTAACAACTCGGAAACTCTTGCTATATCACTAATTCCTAACGAAAGGAGTCTATTCAGGCACAGGCAGAAGGAAGAGGCGTATCACATCACGTGGCATCTACGCCTTATCTCTGGAACACTCTTCACAGCACCTGAGTAAGTTCTGACCTGGAAGCTCCTCCTCCCTTTCCTTTGGGTTTTGATGGTTCCTGCTTATCACCATGGTTTTGTTGTGATCTTGTGACTGTTCTCCAGGGACAAAAGGGGTCAAGTTTGATTCCCAATGTGGCAGCATTACGAAGCAGCAAGATGCTTCAGAGACAGGGTCTAGTACTGCTACTCAGGTCACTGGATCACCGCCTTCAGAAGGACCTGAGATGGTCCTTGTAGAATTCTGAGACGGTCCTTTGAGGGGGTTGTTTCAAAAGTCTAACCCCTGAGTCCTACTCTGGCACCTTTTCCCTCATGCATGACAACGTACGTCATCAGCCACAAGATCTTTACCCATGTTTGCATCACGATTTGAACCACTACGGTACCGGCTGAATAAATGTGTTTTACGAGCTACCAGCCACAGGAATTTCCTTACTGTAACAATGCTAACTCAGCCTCCAGCCCGTTCCCTTCCACAAGACGCCTGGGAGGTGTGGGTGGCACAAGCCTCTAATCATACAGTTGGTTTCTCTGATAACCAGTCCCGTCCTTGGGGGCTTTCCAAAAGCTCCCTCATTAGCGCAGACTCAGGTATGGTTAGAAGGTGCCTGTTGTACCAATCTCCTTCGTGGCTTTTAATACAGGAGTTTTAGGGCCTCCATCAGAAACACTGAAGGAGAACCAAAATGTCTTTTTAAAAACTGAATATTCCCTAATTGAGATGTGTAATACTGGTCTCTGAATTCCTATCATGTTTTTAAATTCATTTAACATTTATGTATAACTTCTTTAAATATAAAAACTGTTGTCCAAATAGACTGCCTATAAGCAACTTAAGAGCGGTAAGTACATTGTTTTGTTTGTATTTCTCAAAATACAGCCAATGTATGAATATTAACAGAAAAAATACTCTCCTAACTTTCTTGTGCCATAATTCCACCCTCCTTAAAATGTGGGTAGTTATACATCTACCTCAAAGGGCTGGGGTGGGAATCCAGTTTCCTTACGTTAAGCCCATCACATAGATGCATGGTTTGTACCTCATAATTGTTGGCTTCCATCATCACTCTGTTAGAATTTAAATGGCCAGGAATGAATCACATCAGTAAACTGAGTTCAGTCATCTGCAGCAGGGAGAGACCCATCCTAAGTAATGGATAGTCAGTGGAAATGTGGCAGCCATGATACTGAGATATGTCTGTGTTCAGACTAAAGAACTATGTGACCTCTGTCTTCCAGTGACAAGTCATTGCCTTCTTGCCTGATGTATGCCATATGCTGAGCAGGTCACAACAACAACAACAACACTCACAAAAAACAGTGAGAGACCCCCTTTGTGCAGGGAATGCACAATTATTAGGGGACACAACACAGAAAAGTCTTAAGATAGGAGAATACCTAATTCAGCTTGGGGAAGGAATGGGTGGGAATGTGAGGACACTTCTCAAAGGAATGACTTCTAAAGAAAAAGGGATGCAAAGAGACCAGGATATGCAAACCACAGAAAAGGTCTTAAGTAATTAAGTAAGGTTTTTAGGTACTAACATATCAACAAAATAGTGATTTCCTGCCCTCCCACAATCTACCTATCAAAAAGCTTTCAATTTCTGCAAACAAAGAACTAAGTCCAAATATGGAACTATCCTCTTCAGACCTGGGCAAAGAGCCAGGTTTCTTCTTCACTGACTCGATTATTGACAGCTGATAACCGGCACACCAGAGGACCTTGGTGGCACTAAGGTGACTGAGCAAAGAGGCTGAAGGGACCTGGACCACACTCCCAACCTATAGGACCCACGTGCCCTGAAGAAAACACACCCAGTTCGGGGTCCTGACGTGAGTCCTTTGCGCAGTCAGGGGTCTCACCTGATCCGGGAGTGATGAGCGGCCCTTCCAACTCAAGTGCCTCATCTTCAGACTGGTCGTCTAGCTTCTTCTTTTTTTTCTTTGTGGGATCTCTGGGTTTTTTTAGGAGGGAAAGTTCTTCAGGGTGTCTTATATCTGTTAAGGAATGGATTAAAGGAAAAGTTAGCACAGGAAGTTTACTTCATCTATTTCCTTCTGTGTATGTGGGTGTCAGCATTCTGCCCAACACATGAAAGGGTGATAGATGACATGCTAAAAATCCCCAAAAACTACAGCAAGAGAATGCTTGGCTAGCCCACACAGACCCTGGCTTCCATTCCAGCACTGGAGAAGAAAAAAAAAAAAAACCTACCCAAAGCACTCTTAATTCATTATTAGCTAGCAAACAGAATGACCTCAAAGCAGACAGAGAATGTCCACTAGGACACAGAATGAAACCCCACCGGAGTGGCGGTTCATGACTTTAATCTGAGGAAGGTGCATGTAAGTGACTTCAAGGCCAGCCTGGTTTACATAGCAAGTTCCAGGAAGGCCAGGACATGTCTAAAAAACACTATCCAAAAACCAGAAAGAAAATTCTAGAACTTTTATTCATATACTCATTTTTATCTAAGAATTTACATTATCTGTTATCAACCATTTTCTATGTTATAAGGTACATATGGTGCACGAAGCATATGTAATAGATTATCTTAATAAACAGGCATTTTATTTTAACTTTATGCGTATGGGTATTTTGCCTGCATGTGTGTCTTTGAGCTCCTTAAGGGTGTGAGCCACCTTGTGGGTGCTGGGAATTGAACCCTGGTCCTCTGGAAGAGCAACCAGTGCTCTTAGCCTCTGAGCCATCTCTCCCGATTCAAGCTGGTATTTCTTCCATATTAGATACAGTATACACACCATGTTCCTGAGTCGTAAGACTCAACATTATCCCTCCCCTCAAACTAGGGGGACCTCAGTCAACTCTCCCCACAGTTGATAAGAAGGTTGAAAATTGTGTAAGTGTGCACACACACACGCCCTTGAGGGCATCTGTGAAGATCAGCGGTCAGTCAAGATCAGGTACCTTCCTCAATCATTTTCTAACTTTTTCCAATGTAATATTTTTACTGACTATTTGAGAATTTCACATCATGCACCCCATCACACTCACTGCCCAACCCTCCCAGATTGGCACACTCCACCCGTGACCTACTCCACCAAAAAAAGTCCAGTTTGCATTGCCCACACACTCACTGGAGCATGCTCAAACTCCCAGTAGCCAGTCCCTTAAAAAAATAAAACTGAGTCCTTCCCCACCTGCCCTCACGCCAGAAGCCCTCAACTGTGGACAGTTACACTTCAGCATCCTCATCCCACTTTTTAAGAGTTCTCTTCCATGGCATTCTATTACGTTTTGGGGGGTGGGGTGGGGTTGGGTTAGGGGTTGTCACAGAAATGTTCTACGCCTCTTTCTCAACTGTGAGCCTGCAGTTATCGATGCCACTGCACAAGTAGCTTCCTTGCCCTTTACAGTCAGTAGGAACACGGATCATGGACTTCCACATGGTTTCTGGCAACAGTACGAACCACGGACATCCACAGGGTCTCCATCATCAGCATGTGCCACAGACCTCAGCATGGTCTCAGGTGGCAGAACAGACCACGGACATCAACATGGCCTCTAGTGCTCGACCTTATTATTATTATTTTCTTTTTCGAGACAGGGTTTCTCTGTGTAGCTTTGGAGCCTGTCCTGGATCTCTCACTCTGTAGCCCAGGCTGGCCTCCAACTCACAGAGATCCTCCTGCCTCTGCCTCCTGAGTGCTGGGATCAAAGGTGTGTGCCACCGCCACTAGGCCCTTATTTTTTTTAAGACAAGTCTCCCACTGAACTCAGGGCTTACTGACTGGCTAGGCTGGCTGGCAGTGAATTCTTGTGATCTCCCATCTCCAACTCCCAAACACTGACTTTAAAAGTTCATGCCATCATGCCTGGCTTTTCACATGCACGTCAGGAATCCAAATTCAGGTCCCTGTGCTTCTACAGCAAGCATTTTATCTACTAGGCCAACTTCCCACCCCCACAGATGATAAATTTATATAAAAATGAAAACAATCCTAGAAGAGACAAAGCCTTCTCTGAAAAGGGTAAAGTTGGTGAACTTAGAGGAATTAATTTCAAGTCATCGCAAAGCTATAGCAATAAAGAGGTGGTCAGAAAACTGATGACGTGGGAAGGCAATCCTAATGGAAAGAAACACCTTCAACAAGTTACTGCTAAACAGTAAAAGATTCATAGCTTTTGTTTTTTTGTTTTCTCAAGACAGGGTTTCTCTGTGTGCCTGTCCTGGATCTCCCTTTGTAGACCAGGTTGGCCTCTAACTCAGAGATCCACCTGGTTCTGCCTTCTGAGTGTTGGGATTAAAGGTGTGCGCCACCACTGCCTGGCTGAGATTCACAGTTTTTAACGAGAACATTAACATTCACCTAACTCAATGTGTTAAAAATTAATTCTTAACGAATTGTGGATCTATATCCAACAGTGAAACTAAAAGACCCAGATTACTTAGAAAGGGTGGCAGAAGTGTGAATGAGATCGTCCCCGACAAGATCACTTGGGTCCCAGAGGGGGATGCTGTTGGTCAAGATTGTGGAACTTTGATGCTATGGAGCCTTGACGAAGGACTGTATCACTCTGAGTCCACGCTCACAGAGGGCTTTGAGGGTTTATACATAGCCTTGCCCACTTCCTGTTCACCCTCTGCTTCACGTGTGCATAATGATGCTCGCACCACCAGGCCTGCGGCTTGCTGCCAGGCCTCCCTGCATGATGGACTGATCCCTTCGGAATCACAAACCAAAATAAATGCTTCCACCTGTGAGTTGCTTTGGGTCATGGTATTGTGTCACAGAAACAGAAAAGTAACTAATACAGTCACATACCCTCCTACCCCCACCCCGAGAATTGCCTTTGGGGCTGGAGAAATGGCTCAGCAGTTAAGAGCTCTTGCTGTCCTCCCAGAAGACCCACATTTTGTTCCCAGCACCATACTAGGTGGTTCACAACCACCTGTAACTCTAGTTCCAGGAGATCCGATGCCCTCTTGTGGCCTCTGCTGGCACCGGCACACATGTGATACATATACACACATGCAGGCAGGCACTCACACATAAAATAAAAATGCATAAACCTTCCTCTGTAATTATGATTCCAGGGGATCTAATACCCTTTTCTGGCTTCTGAGGGCACATGCATTTGGTACATATACATACGTGTGGGCAAAACACACATACAAATAAAGTAAAAATAAATAAATTTTAACAATTAACCAGCCTGCTCTTTGAAAGGCACTGTTCAGAAAATAAGGAGAGAAGCAATATACTGGTATAAATCTGCAAGACTTGTATTCAAAATATGTGAGGAATACACAGTTCCAAATAAGGCCACTGGGCTAAAGACTGAGACAAGTACATGAAAAGATAATGAGTTACCATCCATCAAAGAAATGTGAATTAAACTATACCCATCAGAACAAAGCATCTTCAAAAACACACAGGGGGGACTATGACGTATGAGGAGAAGGCCACCCGCAGCTCTCACACCCAGCTAGCTGGAATGGGAAATGAGAGAATATGTGGGAATGGTTCTTCGGTTTCTTATAAACATGCAGCTAACACACAACTTGGATATCCCCTATTTACCCAAGAAAGTGGAAAGCACATTCACAGCAGCTTTATTCAAAGTCCAAACTGGGAGTAACTCAAATGGTGAAATCTGCCTATCACTGGAAGCAACGCTCATACAATGGAGTCCATTCATCAGCAGAAAGAAACAAGTTACTGACACATACGATAAAGTGAATGAATCTAAATTAAGTGGAAGAAGATAATCTGAAAGGAGAAAATTCGTGATTAAAATCTATGATTCCACCAACAAGATTCCACAGAATGCCAACAATCTCAGTGACGGAGAGCAGCTGAGCGGTATCAGATGGGAAATCAGAGAAGACAGAAATACGTTGAAGGAGGAGGATGACGAGTTTAGGCGAGCCTGGGCTTCAGAGTGAGTTCTTGAATAAGACCCTCTCAAAAAACCAAACACTTCAAAGTTTTACACTTTAAATGGGTGCAGACAGTTGTGTGCTGGTTGCACCACAATTTACTTAATTAAAAAATAAATAAATAAAGGGTCAGGGATGCAGGGTGAGGGCCTTTAATCTCAGCATTGAGGAAACAGAACTTTCTGAGTTCAAGACCAGCATAGTTTACATGGTGTGTTCCAGGCCATTCAGAGTCACCTAGTGAGACCCTACCTTAAGAAAGAACAGGAGGCCGGGCGGTGGTGGTGCACGCCTTTGATCCCAGCACTCGGGAGGCAGAGCCAGGAGGATCTCTGTGAGTTCGAGGTCAGCCTGGTCTACAGAGCGAGTTCTAGGACAGGCACCAAAACTACACAGAGAAACCCTGACTTGAAAACCAAAAAAGAAAAGAAAAGAAGAGAGAGAGAGAGAGAGAGAGAGAGAGAGAGAGAGAGAGAGAGAGAGAGAGAGA